TCGGGGAGGGGTTTCGCTTTATTTTTACATTTTTCGATCTTTTTCGTCGCGCTGTGATGACGTCACATACACGCTTTCATCAACCGCGATTTTGTCGTCCGCGGTTTTGTGGTGGAACCAAAAAATGCAAGTAGAAAAATAGGGACCACCTTTGGTGGGAAGGGAACATCGTTCCATGTGCCTTCGGCATTGAGTCATGCTGGCTACATGGCCACGGAGACGTCTTCGGACAGTGCTGACTCTTTGGCTTTGAAACGGAGATGAGCACCGCCCCCTAGAGTCAGGAACGACTAGTACGTATGTGCGAGGGGAACCTTTACCTTTAAACATTCCTCCCTCTGTTTCGCGGGGTTCCATTTTGTAGGATGGAAAAAGATCGTCCATCCCAGCCCTGTGGTGGGTCAATGGAAGAGGAGCGGAGGTCAGATGGAGCTTTGAAGAGATGGGGCTCCATTCCAGGAAGGTGGCCAACATCCTCATCGACCGATGTGGACTACGCAAAGGCGACAGAATCCTGGTCGTTCTCTCCCGGATTCCGGAATGGTGGCTGGTGATCATGGCTTGCATTAGGACAGGTCAATTTATTTATTTATTTTTAAATGTCATTTTTATTTATTTTATTTGTTAAATTGATTTGCTGCCTGTCTCACCTATTCTAGGTGGCTTCAGGGGTGGGCTCGTAGGGGCTCGCCCAGATTCGGGAGAACCCATAACCAACATTATGGCAGGTTTGGAGAACCTCCAAATCCCACCCCTGGATGGCCACCCCTGCCCCGCCCACAGCAGATTCAGACAGTGAGAGGGTTGGGGAGGAACATGGGCCAGTCCTGGAGTCTGGGGAAAGGCTCTGATGAGGGCTCTGTGTCGGAGGCAGAGAGGGGGCCAGAGCCATATGCCGGTTATCAGCTGCCTTCAGAGTCAGACATCAGTGAGGCAGAGGAACAGCTGGAGCCTGTTCCCAGTATGCGCATGCACAGAGTTGCCAGACAAAGGGAACAACTAAAGAACAGGGGTCGAACTTGGGAGTAAGGCCACAGGTGGACAGTGAGTGGTCCCTCCTAGAGGAAATAAAAGAGGAGCGACAGGGGAGTGGCGTTTGCAGGAGACTATTAGTTCATTCCTGCAATCTTGCCAAGTATTGTGGCGTCTGAAAGATCTCGGCCTGGCCACTCTCCAAGCCTGATAAAGGTCGGCAATTGTGAACTACATCTTGAAAGACTGTGGGAGAGGAAAGATTTGCTGGAGAGGAATTCACTGTCAATTAAAGAAAAGGGGTTTATCGGGACAAGGACTTGGCTTCGTGCTGCTGGGGAAGCCTGGGTCAAGATAAGGATAGAACAGCTAAAGATCAGGGGTCGACTTGGGAATAAGGCTTGGAGATGATTGGCCTCTCCCATAAGCTGTTCCCTTCGTCTGGCAACTCTGTGCATGCGCATACTAGGAACAGGCTCCAGCTGTTCCTCTGCCTCACTGATGTCTGACTCTGAAGGCAGCTGATAACCGGCATATGGCTCTGCCCCTCTCTCTGCCTCCAACCCAGAGCCCTCATCAGAGCCTTCCCCAGACTCCA